ACCTCTGTTGACTTCACATACCTAGACGTGTGTTTGCTTCCAGAAGCTATAGATGGACTGATTCCAGTGTGGAAAATTCAGGGAGAGCCTGTGGACTCCCACAGTAGTAACGAGTCTCCATGGGAAGGTATCTCCTTCTTGACAACTGGAAACAGGGAAGTTGTCCAGAAGTATACCTGCTCCCATGTGGTCTTGGTCCCTCTCTGCATTTGTTCCCATAGCAGTAGCTGAGCTATCTAGCAGAGGCTGCCTCACTTTCTTCCACATTAATAAATGTACAACGTGCAACTTGCTCTAAAGGGTATTTCCCCTATGGTATGGTGTCTTCTGTCTGTAATGTTAGAGGACCTTAAGAAATGTGGGCATCATAAATTAAGCAAATCTTAAGTTACTAACTTTCTAAAACATTTTCGAACAAAGTCGGTTTTTCATTATAGGAAATTAGATGATAAAGGAAAATAAAATAAAAACTAACAATAATCAGCCCTGGCCAGTTTGGCTCAGCGGTTAGAGTGTCAGCCCATGGACCGGGGAGACCCAGGTTCGGTTCCCGCTAAGGAAGGGCATGTACCTTGGTTGCAGTTTGTCCCTGGCCCTGGTTGGGGTGGTGTGGGTGGTGACCAGTCGATGTGTCTCTCTCGCATCGATGTTTCTCTCTCTCTCTTCTGCCCTCTCTCCCTCCCGCTCTATCTGAAGATAAATGTAAAAAAAAAAAATGTCCTTGGGTGAGGATTAAAAAAAAAAACAACTAACAATAATCACATAATGCAGAGATAATACTGTTAACACTCTGATTTGTTTCTTTCCAGTTATTTGCATGTGTATGTTTATATATAAATTCATCTCTATGTATTCTTTCAAAAGTAGAATTATACTATATATGTATCCTGTTTATTTGCTTCTCTCTCTCTCTCTTTTTTTAAAACATGTATCTAGTGCTTACTGTGTGCCAGGCACTATTTATTCTAAGTACTTTATATATATTCACTCATTTAGTCCCCACAACTACCATCTGAGATGAATACTGTTATTCTTCTCATTTTACACTTGAGGAAACTGAGGCCCCGAGCTGGAATACCTTCCCTGGCTCACCCTGCTATTAAATGGCAGAGGCTGCATTCGAACCCAGGCATTTTAGCTCCAGAGTCCACTCTTAACCACTATTTTCCTGATGTTAAGTATTTTTCACAAGCATGGCTTTCAAACCTTAGCCAACATAAGAATTATCCAGGGAGCTTGCTTATATGTGGAATCCTGTACCCCTCTCCCAGACAATTTGATTCAGTAAGTTTGGGTTGAAGTCTAGGAATCTGCACCTTTTGGCAAGCACCCCACATGATTGTCAGACCTATGGATCACATTTGCAAGAGAAACCTATATAGGTCATCAGTTTTAAAAACTAAACATTACATTGAAGTATATTTATAGCATTTATATATGTACGGGAAAATGCACACATAAGTATATAGATCAGTAAATTTTCTCAAAGCAAATACACTCATGTGACTCCCCTCAGACCAAGATATAGAATAATATGATTGCCCAGAAGCTTCACTCATGTTCTTTCCCAAGCACCACAGTCCAAGGTAACTGCTGTCACTGTTATATAATTTGAGTCATACAGTATGTACTCTGGCTTCTTCAGCTCAACATTTTGTTTGTGTGATTCATCCATGTTGTAGCATTTGATGGTAGTCCTTTTTTTTCCTCTGCACTGTTGGTCATTGTATAAATAAACTATAATTTCTCCATTAAAAAAAATTATCGACTATAACGCACTTATACGGCCTGGCCCATGCTTGGCATGTGACACTAAATTTTTAGGGCCTGTCTCCGTCCTATCAACTACTCCAGTGGGTGGTGACTGCAGTGTCCCATACTTGACCGTGAGCTCCCTGTGGGCAACCATTATGCACTCGATTGAAGCCCGGATGAAATGTAACATAGAACTTGGCACAAAACTGGTTCTACACACTTAGTTTCTGAGTCTAAATCCTCATTTGTAAAGTGGGAATAGTCTTGTCTACCTCCTGAGGTGTGGAGACCTCCTTCCAAGTTGTCTGGAAAGGGCCAGAACTCCCTTGGTAGATGCTTCTAAGAGTCCCTCAGGACAGAGGCCAGCAAGGATTCCCATTGTTCCAATGGTTCATTTTCACTTCCCTTTCCACCCCACACAAGATGCAGACCCAGGGCCAGCACCCCCTGCGGAATTGAGTGTCAAGCCACTTTCTGGCCATTAATCTCTAAGAGTCTATCAGGACCATTTGCATTAGTCCATCTTAAAAAACTCCAGCTGGGCCCTAGTGGACCAGAAGTGGGGCCCAGGAAACTGCTGTTGTAGCCAGCTAGAAGCGGAGTCCATGGCGTCCCAACGGCCTCTTGGACCAGGCCCTGCAATGTGCCATCTGTGCCTCAGCCAACCCTACTGTGGGGCTGTAGGCCATCATGGTCACCATTTGAGAGGGACACTGAAAGACCGTGCCTCCTACCTCATGATAGTCCAGAGGTACTGATGGAGGCACGCTGGCTGGAGAATTCCCCACCCCTGGCCCGAACTCTTGGGTGGGTTGGAAACAGCCCAGGCTGGGTCCATGAATAGTGAACCTGGGCAGCTGGCAGAGACCAAGTGTGCATGTGTGGTGCAGAGTGGGAGGTGGGGCAAGAACTCTGAAGACAGACTGGGCACCTGCCCCACCCCCTGCCGGCCCAAACACGCAGACTGTCCTTTCAGTGATGACCATGCAGCTTTCCTAATGGAACACAATCGCTGAACTTGGTACATTTCAAGCACTTTAGCCTTCCAGGACACCAGACTGCTGATGAAAACCATCTTCCGTGGGCGCCATGTTAATGAGAGGCCAAATTTCATATGCTTGCAAACTTTCCCCTCCTGCCTCCTGCTGTATTACACCCCGCCTCCCCCCGCCCCAATAAAAGGTTGCATCAGAGAGAGAGATTTCCATAATTTATAGTATGGGCATTTCACTGGGGACAAGCGCTAATCTGTACTTACCGATACATTTAAGAAAATGCATCCTCCCGCAAGCCTGCACCATTTATGACTCTTGGCACAAACCGCAATGCTCAGTCTTCAATTAAGGGACACCTTAGGGTTCATTATCACACAATCACTCCCTGTGAACCATGCCAAATGCTGTTTTGGCACAGAGCTTGGAAGATGAATTAGAAGGAAGTCTTCTCTGTAATGCCCTCTCCCTAATTCCCATCCCCATCATCAGCGTTTATGCCCTCCTCTTGCTCAACCCCCTCCTTCTTTTCAAGTGGCTTTTACTATTCAATTTCTCAACGTCAAACTCGATTCTCTAGAGGTGTAGTTAAAGATGCCCTATCTCCCTTTTGTCTTCCGGCTCTCACAGGCATCAGAATGGCTGCAGATGGGCTCATCTCCACACCCCTTTTTGGCCTAAAGGAGCCACAGATGCTTTTTCCCCCTCCTCTTAGAGCTTGGGGTAGAGAAAAGGGACCAGAATTGGAAACACACACATGAGCATAAGCCATAAGGAGGATCCACACGAACGCATCTAAATGAAGGGATGACGCATGCTTGCAGAGGCAGGGCGTGTTCAAATATTAGAGAGCGCTGGTGCAAAGCCAGTTGCTTCCATCAACAGGAAAGGAAGGAGGGGAAAGGAGTTGAAGGCTGATCTTTATTCCTCCATATCCTTCTAGTCCAGGGCCCACACTGTCACAATGTGTCCTGAAACCATGGGACCCTCCAGAATTTAAACCCATGGGTAAGGATACCCCCTTTTTATTTCCTTCTTGAAATCAACAAAACAAAATGAGCACCTTTGCTGGCACTTTCCAGCTCTCCCAGCAACCCAGTGTCCCACAGCAGGCACGGGGCTGAGAGCAAACGCCACCCAGGACACAGCCACAGGCTGAGGGTGGGGGCAGGGAGGGAGCGGCGTCGCAGGCAGCTGCAGCCAGAGAAGCGGGAACCAGGCCACTGGGGAAGGCAGCAGCCAATGCACCAGGCCAAGAGCGGTTTGGTCCTAATTTCTCTTTTTAAAAATATGGAACGCTTCACGAATTTTCGTGTCCTCCTTGCACAGGGCCACGCTAATGTTCTCGATCGTTCCAGTTTTAGTGCATGTGCTGCTGAAGCAGTCCCGGGTTCTTGGGCGGGTGTTGGGGAGGCGTGCAGAGGGGTGAGGGGAGCGGTGCTGACTCAGTTACGGGAAAGTGTGCTTATCCTTTGCAGAGCTGATCACAGCCTCTTTATCGTGACTCCCTTAAATGAATCTTCCAGCTCCACTTACGATGACAGCGCCTCTGCCGGAGTAAACTTATCGACTTCTCCATGTCACACCCACATCAAGAGATTCTTAGATGTGACAGGTAAGAAAGAGGGAGGGGCTGAAGGTAACCGAGCTCTCAAGTTAAACCCTCAAATTTTACAAAACCATTAAAATAAAATGAGCTTAACGAAGTAGCTAGAAACGCAGGCTGGGCACCAAGTCGGGTGATCAGCTAAGATCCCCTGCTTCTGAACTCGGGGCAGCGAATGGAACGCAAACAGACTCCAAATATTTCACCCACAAGATGTCTTGTGGAAATTTTATTATATAGAGTGTAAAATGAATTGTCAGTCAAATAAAAAGAACACTTTTTTAAAAACGACATGCATAACATTCTCCAACTGCCTTTTTTAATAGTTAGATATTTCAAGCATTATAAGGAAAATAAGGAGAAAAAACCAGAAACTGTAACTTCAGTACATTTCAAACGGAATGTCCCCCAGGTCAATTAAAAATGCAAGAAAAAATAGCTTTAATTCCGTTTTTCTTTCCTTTAAAAATACATGTTATCTGTACAAGACACACTACAGTAAACACTGAAAATCATAGTTTTATCCCTTTTATTAAATCAAAATTATTTAATTCATATTGTGGTTAATACTAGATTTATTTATTCATCTAGTTAATTTGACAAATATTAAAAAATATTTAAAAGACAAAGCAAAGAACACCTCAGAATTAAAAAATAGTGACTACATTTTTATGTGGTTTAATGTTCCATAGTGTTTGTTAAAAGTTATATCGAATTTCTTTTTAATATTAAAAATAACAGTATTTATATTTCTGAGAATAGAGAGGATTTTTGTTTTGTTTTTAAAACAAGCTTGGAGGTCTTAGATACACAATTGCAACTGGTACTGAGACATTAAAAAGACGTATGCTAAACACATGAGCACATTTTTATATTACCCTTTAGAACTCTAGAAATTATACAAACCCTATAAAACGCCCCTCCCGAGCCCTGTTGGACAACAATACAATTCTCTGTCTCAATTCAGAATTCACATAATTAATTACAATACATAATAGTTCAGTTTTTTAAAAAATGCAATAAAACCAGACAGCCAAGATACAAGAAATTAGAAGTAAAACATTTAATGAATTTATACATTTAAGAACATTTAAATACTGTTTAAAAAATTTAAAAATAATTTGTTACATACCACCTAAGACTTCCAAGCCACGTTCTGTTGCAACAGAAACAACTGTAAATAAAAAGACACGCAAAAAACAACAAAACAAAAAACACACCAGTTGAAATGTCACTGCTATGAGGCACATTCTGGTGCCTGAATTTGCAGATATTGCTCCAAAAAGAATCCCAGAGCTTCCACATTTGAAATAACAAATAAAAATGATGAAACAAAAAATTATCAGCAATTTTTAGTAACTAAGTTCCCAATTTTTAGAAAAATTCTGTTAATCTAAATATAGTGTTTCACAGAACAAAACAAAGGTTCTTCATCAAAAGGTTTGCAAATCTAAAAACCTCTGTTACAAATAGGTTTCCGCTCACAATGATTTTGGGGAGGGGGCCGCAGGTCACTGTTCTACTGTTCCTGTGGAAGGAAGGGGGAGAGAAGTCAGCCTGTGGGAGCAAACTCTCAAGGGCTTGCCAGTTGGAGGTGACAGGTCACCCTCTCCCCTCTGGCTCTACAGGAGGTGCTGACACACACAAACCAGGCGATGTCTCAGCGCCTTCCCGCAGCCTCCCCACCAGGGCTCCGCCTAGACCAAAGCTCTCCTGAACAGGAGGTCCTGAGCATCCCTTTCCATAGGGCCTACCTAGGACAGGGACAGAGGAGTGAGCTCGAGAAACCTCTCGGTCATCGGCCAGCCAGAACACCTGTTTCTACTGCGCCCAGGCACAAAGGGGCAACTTGGTAGTGAGATGGCCAATTAACTTTAGGTCCAGGGCCTCTGGTAACCGACATGCTGTCCACGGGGCTCTGCCTGGCCTCAGGTCATCTGAAATACGCCCTCCGGGAGCATTTGGCCCTCTTCCCTATGTTAATAAGAAATCCGTTTTTGGCCTATGACTGGCCAGAACCCTCCAGGTTTCTGTGCAGGACGAAGATCTGGCACTTTGCCCGGCCCAGCCTTCCAAGGGTGTGGACTGGCCCTGCTCCCGCCACCCTTTCCTGCAGACTGAGGGCAGGGGTGACAGCCTGGCCACACCACCTTCTTTAAGAACAGTTGTGGGGTGTGAGCTCCATGGCCCCTACTCACAGCGCCAAGCTGGCCAGTCATCTAAGCTTGGCGCTCCCATTCACAGCTGGAGGAACGACAGCCCAGAGGCAGAAACTGAGAGCCGGTCTGGGGGGTCTGGGGCCTGGATCGGAGGGAAGGTCGGGCACTTTCTTGGAGGGGCTGCCCTATCAATTCCTCTCCAACTCGGCCCAAACGTGCTCTCTCGGGGGCAGAGGGGGGGGGGGCGGCGGGGCGGCTGCCGCTGGGCCCTGAGCAGCGCTGTGGCCCGCGCTGTCCCTGCACAGCTGGCGCTCTTGCCCGGGAGCAGGCGCAGAGCTGGGAGAAGGGGCTGCAGGCCGGGTGGGCGGGAGTCTCAGCAGTGCTGGCGCTGGCTACACACCTGGCTGTGGGCCTGAGCCTGCCCTAACGTCTGCCCGTAGAAAGCGACCTGCTGTCTGTAATATTCGGCCCAGGCCATAGTGTAGTCCGGTGGGGAGCTGGCCTGAGGAGCGGCGCTGGCAGCATGACCTGATGGACAGAGGGAAACAGGCGGGTCAGGAGCAGGACGCACTGAGCAGGCGTGAAGGCCGCGTGGAGACTCCCTTCCCCAGACGCAGGCATCGGGAGCAAGTGCCCACTGCTCTCCCTCCGGACGTCGGTGCGGCGGGGCCTGTGTGCCGGCTGCAAAGAATCCAGTTAGTCTTCGCGGCCGCCCCGCCCCGCCCCGCGAGCCTCCCGTGCTGTCCTTTCAGAATCACCTTGTCTGCACTGGTCTGCCTGACCGTCAGCTCCCAGGGAGAGGGAGGAGGGGTGCATGCGTGCACCCCAGAGTATCCAAGCCCACGGTGGGCTGCAGACAGGCCCATGCATGTCTGGGAGTTTGGATTTAGGAGGTCTGGGGAAGACTGGACACCTGGACTTTTACCAGGTAGATGCTCCAGGCGATAATGACCTCCCTGCCCGCTACCCCAGTGATGACTTTCCAACACCAGGGTGACTGTTAGACGCTTTGACGTGAGTTCCTCCAACCAGCAAATAACATCCTTCAGACTCGAGCCATGTGACACCTCTTCCCATGACGCCTCCACGCCTGGTTCAGCAGCTTCAGAATATATGCAGAGGGTTCAGTACTAATTGCAAATGACTGCCTGGGGTTTTTTTGGTTGCTGTTGTTAGTTTTTTCCTCCTCTTTTAAAAAAGACTGGTTTAGTTCCTTAAGAAAACGAGCTTACTTAAGAAAAGCAAACATCTCACCGCCCACCCAGCTGCGGCGCCCTTCCTGAGTCCACCATCTCTCTTCTCTTCACCTGCTCTGACATGGCCAATGACAGCGACAAGACGGTCAGGGAGCGACACAGCTAGTCTGCACCCTGGCCATGCAGTTCTAAAGGGGCCTAGGACAGCTGTCCCTGGTCCCTCAGTTGGATGCCACGCCCTTTGGAGTTGAGAAGGGGAGAAACTGGGGGAGGAGGGGAAGGCAAATGGCTACACCACGCCGCCTCTGACAGACGCACAGAGGGACAACAGGGACAGTGTTACAGAAAAAAAGGTGACAGGGAGCCATGGACAGTGAAGCCTACAGACACGGGACTCTGGCTGGGGACCTGCTTGTTAGGAAGGCCATTGCACTCACTCTGTTTTTTGTAATAGTCCTCCCAGGCCTTGCCGTAGTCGGGCTGGCTGCTCTGCGGCTGGCTCTGCTGGCCTGTGCGGAGAACACAAAAGCAGTGAGGCCCCGGGCTTCCTCACCGCCTGGCCCCCAGCCCGGCCGGCTCGAGGCCCTGCTCTGCGCTTGCTCGCTTGCCCCTGGGCCACACGCCGCTCTGTGGCCTGGGAAGAAGGTGGCAGCAGATGGCTGTGGAGGAGATATGTCAACACCCAAGAGGGCCTCCACCCAGGCCTGGGGTGTGCGTGCGCAACTAAGATCCCACAAGGCTGGGGCTGGGCAGACTGCTGCCCCTCAAGGGCGACTACCGGGAACAGCCTCCACCCCCCCAGACAGGGACGGGAGCTGCGGGGAGCAGAGCCCAGGGCCAGACTGCCTGTCACCTAAGCTTCCTGGAAGGGCCTTCAAATGGCGCTGAGCACACTTTTTACCAGAGCCTTCCATTCAAAGACTGATGGCTTCACCACTGCACAAGCAGAACTGTAGCAAACACTCGGGAAACTGTCCAGAGACTGAGCACAAGGGAAGGGGCTGCTGGCCACAACACACCTGACACCACCCAGCCTTCTGCCTTTGGGGCGGGGGCAGGGGAGAGGATGTGGTCTTGCTCCTGCCCTCCTCTTCCGGGTAAGCCGGTGCCTTCTCTACGCGGCCTGGGCAGTGAAGACGGGCAGGGGCAGAGTAGCCTCCGCCTGCCCGGGTGCATAATGAGCGTTAAGACAACACAGCAAGCCCTGGCTGGGTGGCTCAGCTGGTTGGAGCACCGTCCCGCACACCAAAAGACAACGGAGTGGCAAGTCGGGCCCTTGCTTTCTGCCGAGGCCAGGCTGGCTGCGTGTCCACCTAAGGCCCCTTCCCTGACCTTTCTTCAGTGGGGACCAATCTGAAGCAGCACGAAGCACACGCCAGCAGACAAGCTGCACAGCCACGGTCTCCCGCCATGGACACGAAGACCGAAGAGGGGCGTGGGACCAGGACACCCTGGGTGTGGGTGGGGGACAGGAACGAGATGGGAGGACAGGAGAGGGAGAAGCGCCTCTCCCCTGCACCCCACCAGGGCAGGAAGGGCTCAGACCAGCACACGGAGCAGAAGGCCTGGCTGGGGAGGGCAGGGGCAGGAACGGAGCAGCACGAACTCCCCCTGGCTGGGGAGGGGCAGGCAGCAGTTTTTCTCTCCAACAAGGTTCCACCGACCGAAACCAATTCTCAGCTCCTAAGTCCCGAGTAAACCAACTAAGCTCGATACAAGATGAAGGCTGGTGAGCAGAGGCGAGAAGCCAGGCATTTCCGTGTCTTCCCCCTCGTCCCAACGCCCCTCCTGCCGGCTCCTGGCCGCCTGGGCCGTGGACAAGCAGCAGGCCGGGCCTCTGCAGAGCCATGCCCCAGGCTCAGGGTCCCCTCAGGGAGGACGATTCCCTTGGGTTCAGTGTAAAGACAGACTCCCCAGGTCCAGGCCCTGTCCTGGACAACAGGACAAATGTGAACCTGCCCTGGGTCACGTCACAACTTAGGGTCGCCCTCCAACTGTCGGAGCAGGAGGAAACAACGTGACCAGCCCCCGGGATTGAGTGAGACCAGTGAAAGGGAATGGCAGACTCCAGGGTGCGTGGGTGTCCATGGTGAAGCTCTCTAAAATATTCTGTATGTTTCATACATTTATAAGAAAATACTGCTGAAGGGAAAGAATACAACCATGCAAGTTTAGAGTTCGCGTTACTTTAGAAATCGAATCCAAACCCTTCATTTCACAGACAAGAGACTGGAGCCCAGAGCGGGGGGGGGGACGTGCCTGCAGCTGCACAGCACTGGCCTCCAGACTCCACGGGTGGCATCTAACTGTGACCTTGACCAGGGTCCTGGGCAGCACTCTGCTCAAGGGGAAAGAGGTAGCACCCCAAACCCCGGGCTTGGGCCCCATGAGCAAAGCTGTGACCCTGGTCCTGCGGCCTGGCGTGCAGGGAGGACGCGCTGAAGCCCGCCTTCCGGACACAGACGACGGGCCCTCGAGAGGGTCGGGTTTGTCCTGCTTGAGCAGGCTGCGCCAGAGGGGCTCCACCCGCAGCGACGCTCAAGAATGACTCCAGCAGCCAGCGGGGCTGGAGAGTGGGGAACGGGTTTGATTCCCGCAAGAACTTCCTTCTACGGCAGTTTTCTCGGAGACGCCACTCAGCATAGATAATTCTCTTACATGTGCTTTCTGAAAAGTTCAGGAGACAGAAAGAGCCCCTTTCTAGGATGGTGCTGGAAAGCAAGGGAGGGCCACCCTCTGGCCACAGCAGGGGCGTGGGAAGGGCACGGCGAGCAGACTGCCCAGGAGAGTGCAGGGGCGGGAGCAGAGCTGTAGCAGGAGGAGCCGGGCAGCCAGCCATGCCCCTCGACAGAGCCTGAGAAAGAAAGGTCTGAGAAGGTGGGCCAGGAGAGAGCCAGCCTGTGTCCCTGCCCAGCTGGAGGCAGTGCGACCCACGCAGAAGCGTGCCGCTGCCCCAGGGGCATCCTGAGCCTGCTGGCAGAGGGGGCAGGAGAGCATTTTAGGCCCACCGTCTCCTGGAGAAACTTACTTGGGACTTGCTGTGTGGGCTGCTGCCACGCCTGGTAGGTGCTGCCCCAGCCCTGGGTCAGAAAGGCCGGAGGACCACTGTGGAGAGTGAAAGAGGCCTTGTTCTAGCGCGGGCCACACGTCCCCTCCGCACCGGGCCCACCTCCCACCCATCCCGCTGCCTGTCTCTTCACTGCCCAGCCCCCACCCCGGCAAGCACGATGGCCTGGCAGTGGCCGGGTAACCTCGACCCTAGTCCTGACTGAGACCCACACGCACAAAGAAAGCAGGTCACCTACCTTACAGGGGTGCTGTGAGGGTTTCCGTTCACTTTAGCAGCAATGTTTGGGAAGCACCCTGAGCTCCTTGGAGGATAGGTGCTGAGAGAAAGGGAAAACCACGTCAGAGGGCCAGGACCCAACCACTGGAAGAGCTGTACAAAATCTCCCTGCAGCCCCAGGACGGTGAAGGCCCCTCAGGGATGCTGGCAGTGACCAGAAGACCCTGTGCCCCCGGGGAGGAACCACCGGTGAGAAGCAGAGGAGCCCTGCCCACACCCACCCAGGACTTCGGGCTTCTGGCTGGCACTCCCTAGAAGGAGCTGGAAGGAAGGCCCCTGGGAGGGAGGGAGTCTTCCAGTGGGGGCGAGGTAGAGACTCACTTTTGATGAGGTGCAGCAGGAGGCTGGCTGAAGGGGCTCTGTCCAAAGGCTCCCGGCGCTCCTAGACTGGTGCCCTGTCGTGGCACAGAGGGAGCGCTCTCACTTCCTGTGGCTGCCTCTCTGCCCTCCGCCAGCCCCAAGGCAGACCACAGCTCGGGGAGTCGGGGGGAGGGAAGATGCCCTACAGCACTCACACTAGCCTTCCTTCTGCCCCGAGTGACCAATACCACCACACAGCCAATGCTGGCACCACCACATCTGCCCTAACATGTCACCCTGGGGGTAGGGACCAACCTGCTTGACTCTCCCGTCAATTTAGGCTGGCCCATGGCTCTTTCTGCCATTCTACGTCCCCTGAGGTGAGCAGTGGCCCATCTGTCCTCCATCAACACTCCCTTTCTTTATCTGCTTTGAGGCGCCTGAAACTAAACCAAAGTCAATGAAAGCTGCCTGCAGGGCTGGCCGCCAGGGCGATCCAGCGGGTCCTGGGCCGTGCTAGGGAAGGCTGCTGCCCCAGCTGCTCACCTAAGCCTGCGGGGGACACGGCTCTAGGGCCTGAGCTGGGGGCCTTGGTGAGTTCTGCCAGAAGGTTCCTTCATCGAGCCTGGGCCTGGCCCTGGTACCCCTGGGCCCCAACCTGCCCCCTCGGCAAAGTGAGAGGATGTGCCCTCACGTGATATGAGGACTAGAAAGGTGCAGGAAGTACAAGGTTCTGGGGAAAAACAGGTACCTTGGACATCCACCAGAAAATCCAGTTATTAGTAAGCCAGGTGGGGAAAGGACCTTGTACGTACACCAACTTTCTCATCTATGAGATGTCTGGCCACCTCGATCTGCTGAGGAACACCCCTGATGGTGAATATTCGCAGGTTGGGGTCAGTGTTGGGAGGGGGGTTCCGCTGCAGCTCCACGTGTGCTCCAGACTGCTGGTTTATGCTTTTGATGTTCTCGCCCCCTGTAGGCAGGAGGGCACAAGACAGGGTGAGTGGAAAGGGTGGCAAACCCAACCGGCCTGCAGTCCTCTGCTCAGGAGCCAAGGAAAGGGTATTTCCTGCACCTGCTTTCTATTTACTTTACAATGACCAGGGCTCTCTCATTTGCAAAACCAGACTTAGGACGTAGGACGTGAAGCTGGTCCTTCTCTAGAGGCAGGCTGACGCTGCAGACACCATGTGGCACCTGCTGGTTTCTGTGTCCTGGCAGAGGCCAGGCACCAGGCCTGGGCTGAGGCCCAGGGATCTGCACACAGTGGAGCTCAGCCCCTGGAGGCCAGCACCCCACCCTTCTCAGGACCAGAACTGCGACCTGCTGGCCCCTCCATGGCACAATGGGGTCCTTCAGCCCGGCATGGGCCACCACACTGCTGCTCCCCCTCCCTCCACAGGTCAAACAGACGGCCACAGGCCCCAACAATGCCGGGAGCCCACTCGGGCCTTTAATATCCCATCCTGTCACTTCTCGAGTCCCTGCCTCCACCATGGGGCGGGGGACAGGTCTAGACAGAGAGGCAGCCGGAGGATGGGGGTCACAGAGGCCTGGGTGGAGCCGGGCTAATGAAAATTTAGTTGGACTCTTTGAAAAACCTGTGACAGTCCCAGTCTCTTAATGAAATTTGTGTAACAAAAGCTCCCCCAGTGTAACAATGGTTTGATTCTTCTTTTGAAATTTCACAGAACTTACAGATCAGCTCTGCTCAATTTGGGGGGGAGCCAGAATACAAAGAAAACTTGTAGCAGAATTTTTGCAAAATTAAAAAGAGACAATCTGTGGAAAATCCGGTGCAGAGGACCAGGGAGCCCCACATGATCAAAAGCAACGACTAAAGGCCAGTCTCTGTGTCACCCCTCCCTGCCCGGAGTCAAAACTAACCTCACATGACATGTCATTTCCTTGTAACATCCACAGTCCTTCAGACACTCCAACCTGCCCTCCACCCCCACTGAGAGGCCGGGGCTGAACTGGGACACCCCGTTCCCTCCATGGGACTCTGCAGGGGTCAAGAAGCAAAGCTGGGCCTGGTCCAGCTGTCCCTCCTGGAGGTGGCGACCACACTAGGGGAAGGAAACGGCACTCGGATAGAGCTTTGTATACATCGGCTTGGGTAGTACGCCAGTTTCGCATGGGGGGGCAGAGAGGAAGGTGTCAAAGGGGAAAAAAGGAGGGGACATCTTATACGTTCAACAATAAAGACAGATTTAAAGTAAATAAGTGACTAATGCAAAAAAATAAGTGTCCCTACAGATTCCACCTCCAGCAAACATGCTTGTCAAGGGACAGCAGTGGCCAACGTAAGTGCAGGGCCTGCAACTACTGCCCTTATACATCGGGGGATCTGATCTTCTCGGCACCATGAAAAGCTCCTCGGCAACAGCGTTTCTGGGGAGCAATGGAGAGCAAAGCCCAGAGGATACCTTTCCACGGCACTCCCAGCCTCCGCCCAGCCGCCACTCGGCTGTGGCGCAGGAGCACTAGAGGGGTGCGCGTGTCTGCGACCGAGACCCTGCAGCCCCATAGCCCTTCTTCCAAGGCCTTGGGAGCATGCTAATAAGGTGAGGAGGCCCCACAAAACTGCATGGGGCCGGAAGGAGTTAATTTAAGTTTATCTTCCTTCAAAATGAGGTCACCAGCTTGGCACATGGTGGCTGTCTATAGACTCATTCAGCAGCCTGCTCCATTCTTCCACCTGATGGGAGGCAGAAGCCACCCACCAGTGCCCCCCACCCTCAGCTGGTCGTGAAATCGTAAAGCAATTAATCAAATCTGCTAAAAGGCCTGGCTGACAAGAGCAGAGCTGGCCACACTATCTGTCACTGTTGCTGTATTTATCATGGAAATCCAGCAGGGGCCCGGGGAGGCGAAGCGTCTGTGCAAGGGCTGGAGCAGGGGGAGCAAGGGGAGCAAGGGGAGCAGGAGGAGCAGGGCCGGACTGCGTGTGACTCCCCCCTCTCCCTCACTACCCCCATCCACAAATCTTTCCCAAGGAGGAGCACCTCATACCCAGCTCTTGGCAGGATGGGGGGTATAGAAAGTCCCCTACCCCCAACAAATCTTTTCCTGGGTTTGTCCAGGCTGCAACTGGAACACTGGATGCAGTGTCAGGGGCTGTGCCTGCGGCTGCCACCTCTTCCTCTGGGGATCCCTCAGGACAACTCTGCAGCAGATGAGCCAAGACAGGCTTCCTGTGAACACCGAGTCTCCTGACTACGAGGACTGTCCCAAAGAAGGCAGGCGGACACTGCTGTCTAGAGACTCACGTTCACACGAAAACCTCGCTGATAAAGATGTTTCCAACCTTCAGGCACCAAAGGCACGGACTCCTGAGGCAGTCAAGTTGCAGGGCTGGGCGTGGGTCTGACCTATCACAGCATTTGGGCAGCTAACAATGTCCAGAGAACACTTCTCAGCAGGGGCACCCTGCCAACAATTAGAACGAGCCCACCTTGTTCCTACCACCAGTGAGAATCTCAAAGCAGCACAGGTACAGGACATAAACGTTTGGAAAGAGCACGGGACAATGTCCACGGCAGGGCCGAGGCCGAGGCGGGGAGGTGATGGCAGGGCAGGAGGAGCCCCACCCGCGCCCACTCGCGAGGATGTGCCGCAGTGGTCTCAGCTGTCTGTGGAGGAGACACTCCCACGTCACATCCCGTGGCGTGCTAGCAACCTTCTGCAGCCGACAGGCCTGGTGAGCACAGAGACTGGAGAGGCTCTGGGGGGAGATTATCCCCCCAAATACAACACCCCACACTAGATGTGAGGCTCCCGTGGGCCCTGTGAGCCCCAGATCTGCCCATAGCCTTTCAGGTCCCAGGCCGGGCCGGCCCTGCCGAACCAGCCCGAGGGGCTAGAAACCTGCCTGCTCCCCCCTTGCTTCTCACTGAAAGGGCGAGAGGAGCACACCAGCCATTAACAAGGGTTTGACCTAATATTCTCTGAAAGGCCTAGAAACAACTAACAAATCAGTTTTATTCCCCTCCACAGGGCGTCCGTTACTCACAGTGAATGTGTTGAAAGAATAAAAACCAGTGTCAATAAGACCAAATCCAGGGAGGAAAAGGGACACACCCTTCAGAGAGCAACCTTCACTTGAGGAAATTATCTTTACCGTCCTAAGCTCCTTGGAGATGCGTTAATTACTAATCAGTTGGTCAACAAACACTCAAAGGCAAACATTCAGCCTTTTCACAACTAAGTTGCTCCAACAGGCAGTGGGTCCTACTTATCGTGGGCACGTGCCCATCGCCCCGCTCACGAGCAGACCCGTGCCCAGCAGGGCTCCGCAGAGGCAGCTGATGCCACAGATTTGGTACCTTGTCGAGTGCAGCAAACAGGCTTGACTTCATGCTCTGAGGAATGTGACCTGTGTGCTCTCGGGTTAAAGAGCTGCCCCCTACCTTTGCCTATGACGAGGCCGCACTTATCAGCTGGTACTGTGTATGTTATCTCCTGGATGCCGCCAGGGGTTCCCATGCTCCAGTCGCCACGGCCACGGCCTCGGCCTCTGGCTACTGCGAGGCCTCCGAAGCCATCTCTTTCCTGGGAAAGAAGCAAAGCGCAAGTGGGATTTCTGCCCCTGCCACCAGCACCCCTTCTCATCTCCAGGGGGGAGGTCGAGTGGCAGGACGTGATCAGTGTCACAGACCAGAACCTGAGCACATTCCACACTGCAGACTCTGAAGTGCTCTTTAAAAGCAGAATTAACACAAATCACAGGTGCGTTCAAGGAGCACATGTGCAGATAAATGCACGTGGTTACATAAACAGCACAGAGAGCCTGACGAAAACAGGCAGCCGGATCTAAACCCCCAGGTCTGAAGCCCAGTGCCCTTCCTCCGCAGTCTGCATCACTGGGCTCTAATCTATAGGGTCAGGGGCTGACTTTCTTCTCCATGCTGAGCTGCCCTTTCCTGGGGCTAACATGCTGGGCCTATCAGAAACCAGATACTAGACGCTGAAGAGCCATGACCATTTGAAGTAACACATGAATGACAATGTACGACTTTTGACCCTTCCCGGATCAGGCTGCTATAAAGAACAATTCAGACATTGCTACATGGGTCACAACACCTTGCAATCCAAACAGCAAAAAGGGGGAAAGGATTTTTTTTTAATCCTCACCCAAGGACATTTTTGCATTCATCTTCAGATAGAGCAGAAGGGACAGAGGGAAGAAGGGAGGGAGAGAGAGAGGGAGGGAGAGAGAGAAAGAGAAACATTGACGTGAGAGAGACATATCGACTGGCTGCACCCGCACAACCCCAACTGGGGCAGGGGACCAACCGCAACCGAGGTATGTGCCCTTAGCGGGAACCGAGCCCGGGACTCTCTGGTCGGCGGGCCGACGCTCTAACCACTGAGCCAAACCGGCCAGGGCAAGTGTGAAAGGATTTTAAAGAAAAACTGGTTGTCCCACTCCCCAAAAGAGGGCGGAAACAAGCAGGCTGCAGCGCATGGTCTGGGGCTGGAGAAGGCTGACTCATCCTCAGTCCTCCCAGCAGAGAGCAAACCTCACACCGACACGTAACGGAAGATTCCTTTCATCTGAGGGCAACACATTTCATTCCAGACTTTGTCCCGAGTCCCTTCGGAGCTGCAGCATTTACATGTTTAAATACGGAGGGAAACCTAGTTGAACTGAGAGCCCCTTTCACGGGAGGGAGAAGCTGAGCAGAGACTCAACACGGTGAAGAAAGGTTTGGCAAACCCTGCCCACATCAACTGAGAGAAAACAGAACGTTCGCCCGGAACCTAAACCAGCAGAGAGCAGAGATCAGCGCAGTGCTTCCTTCCGGCACTCCACTTCTATGAGAGACAAATGACAAGTAAACAAGGTAATTTAGAGATTTGTTAAAACACACGCACACAGCCAATATGCTGGGTGTGCCAGAGTCTCAAAGACAAGACTGCCTCCTAATCAGCTCAGCCTTTTCAGTCCTGGGTTCATGACCTCTTACTAGTAAAAATGAGAGATCATTTAGTGACTCTTTGGGGAAGTTGTCTAATCCTAAGAACTACCTGGGATGCCAGCTGAGACCCAAGACCACATCTTGGATATTTTGATTTAGTAGATCTAGGTAGGGGTCTACAAATTCACTACTTCCGCATGTACTCCCAGATGACTTAGGGGACCACCTGGTGCAAAACCCTGTTTGCTGTTGAGAATACTTGGCCTACAGAGGTTCAAAGGCTTGTCCAAGGTCACATGGCTAATGGCAGAGCGATGATGATAATTTCTAACACTTCTTTCTTCATCTCCAACCATTCTCAAAATTCCTCAGTCCTACAGACCTGGGGGATGTGCCAACCTACCGTCAGGTCCAGCGGTTCCCCAGAGCACCTGGCAGCAGGGGCAGATGGCGGTGCTAACGTTGCACAAGCCTGCTCACATCCCCTGCGACAGTGTGCACGAAGACCGCTTTCAGACTCTACAGGATCCTGAAGGGCTTTCTAAAGCTAAGGTTATATTTTCCTTATAGTTATAAATTAAGTAGACTCAACTGTTTGAAACTTGATGATCTGCCCTGTATTTCCTTCCAAATAGAGTCAGAAAATCTAGACTCTGGAACAACAAAGGCAGAAGAGGAATGAACTAGCAGGAAAGCAGCAGCTGTAGAGCAACCCCTGGCTATGCATGTGAAGGGTGATCACTGGCCAGCACTGCTTCCCATGACTAGAGGGGCTGCTCTATGTATTGCCCCAGAGCCCCATGTGGCACCTGCTGCTATTGCGACTAAGGTGAATCCAAACAGCAGGACTCACCTGGGCTGTAAGAATAAGCTCGTTGATGACGTGTGCTGCATGCTGACATCGGTCCGGGGGTCCCATGACCTGGGCAGCTCTCTCTGGACTAATACCATCGTCTGTAGAACAAGGTGACAGCTGGGATTAGAAAAGTCCAACTTAAGAAAGAGACAGAGGTCACCCCTGGCAGGTGTGGCTCAGCTGGCTGAGCATCATCCCACACACCAGAAAGTTCACTGCTTCAGTTTCGATCAGGACATGTGCCCTGGCTGCAGTTTCGATCCCTGGTCAGGGTGCATACGAAGGCAACTGATCAATGTTTCTCTCTCACACAGATGTTTCTCTCTCTCTCCCCCCTCCCTTCCTCTTTCCCTAAAAATCAATAAAAATATATATTTAAAAAAGGTCAATCTGATTTGCAATCTATATTCCTACCAGTGCCAAAGAGGTAAAAGTATTACCAGACTTAGGGCATCTTTTGGGCAGGGAAATGTGTATGGCTACATCTTTTTGCACGGCCCATGCCAATACTTATCCAATTACAGACATTTAAAGGAGATATTGCCCTGGCCAGTTTGGCTCAGCAGTTAGAGCATCGGCCTGAGGACCAGAGGGTCTTGGGTTCAATTCCAGTCAAGGGCAGGTACCTGGGTTGCAGGTTTGATCCTGGCCCTGGGTCGGGGTCGTATGGGAGGCAACCAATTAATATGTCTCTCTTTTCCTCTCTCCCTTCTAATCTCCCTAAAGGATCAAGGAAAAAATATCTTCGGGTGAGGCTTAACAAAAAAATAAGTAAATAATAAATAAATTATGAGGTATCATTAAACAATATAAAAACAAACAAACAAGAAACAAGGAAAACAGAGCTATGACAATATTTTCCAAAAATCAGCCCATCATGATGTTTTTCCATTTAGAGAATAAGAAAAATAAAGATACTGTAGATAATTTCCCTTATAAACTTATAACATTTAAAAAATTGTCCTTTATTCTAAAACATTTGTCCTTTTTATCATTTTAAAAGTTATCTTTAATTTTATAAAATCAAAACAACAGATTTTACTTGGCCAAACTGAAAGCTGAAAATGCTACACTGATCTCCCCAACGTTGCTGTTCTGGGGCTGAGGGCAGGGAGAGGGGCCTGGAGGCCCTGGGCCAGCGTGTCTGGGCACAAGGAGAACCAGGCCAGTGAATCCAGAGAAAGAAATGAGGGCCCCGAGGAGCAACCTAGGATGGTGATTTGGTAACAGGATGTTGCAAAAGAGAGAAAAAGAGACAGAGCTAGAGAAAGGGAGAGAGAAAGAAAGAAAAGAACATAAAAGGGCTCGTTACAAAGTCCTTCTTTTGTAAGGTGTTTTCTAAAGGGTTTTTGAAAATGATAAAAAAAAAACAAAAACCAACCTGGTTTGAACTGAATCCTCACACCAGCATCATTCTGGATCTTTTTGATCATTTCCCCATTTCTTCCTATTACAATCCCAACAGCAAACCTAGGCACAGACACCTAAGCAATGAGAAAACCTCATCAGAGAGTTCGGCAAACCTGTCTTTACTCAGTGGATGTGTGTGCATGTTACGGTGCATTCTTGGAAGTTATATAATAAAGCATATTTTTTCCCTTTTAAGAATGATTTTGTGGTTAATGATTGCATTTCTGTCTGATAAATGCATCCAGTAAATCTGAGATTTGATCAAAATATATAAAAATGAAGTAAAGCAAGAATAAACCTTATACATAGATAATAGATTTAAAATGACAAATTTATCTTACAAATTCTTTGAAATAAGCATAACTATAACATATACATTCATTATACTAGTGGTCCTTTAAAATATGTTTTTCATTATGGTAAATTACACATAACGCAATAGTTATCATCTTCACCATTCATAATGATACAATTCAATGGCATTAAACACATTCACAATATTGTGTAACCATCACAGATCTCTGTAACCCAGACCTTTCATCATACCTAATGAAAACCCTGTGTCCCCATTAAGTAGTAACTCCTCCTTTCCCCGCCCCTGATAACCTCCTTTCTATTTTCTGTCTCTAGGGATTTGCCTATTCCAGGTATAAGTGGAATCACACAATATCTGTCCTTCTGTAGCTGGCTTATTTTATAAGCACAATGTTTGCAGGTCCATCCACACGGTAGCATATATCAAAATTTCAACCTAAAGGATAGATTTTGATCCCATTCCACCTCACCAATCAATCTGGCTTCCAAGTTTGATACAATCACAACACAGATCACCAAGAAAACTTGGACTTTGGTCTTCACCTGGGCAGTGGAATAAGCGTTGAAACAAAACTTCAAAACCAGGGGAATGGCCCCACGCCCTGAAAAGCATGCAGCTGGCTCCCCTCACTATGGCCGACTGTCCCAGTCTGTCCTCAAGCCCAGCCTGAGAAGCAAATGTCCTCATAGAATTTCACAGATGAGACAAAAGTTAGATAAATTGCTCAAGGTTAAAGAGCCAACGGACATGTGACCTAGGACCTTAACCCTAATCTCATTTGCCTACTAATCTGTAATCGAAACATACCTCTATACTGCCTCCTCCCATTCGGGAGGCGAAGTCACCGCGGACACCTCGAAAGTCAGCTTGGTCTTTTTCTCGGATGATCTCTAATACCATTTCTCTTGCTTGCTGCGTAAACACAGATAAAAGGTATTATGGAAAACAAAATCCTAAAAAAAGACATGACACCAGATGAAATTTCAAGATCAAACCTTATGTTGATCTTGAAACAAGAAAGGGCGCTCAGCTGGGGGAAAATGACCTTCTTGTACTACTATTATTATATGGGATAGAGGCAGGCTGCTGGTGAGGGTTGCATATATCAAATCTTAACTGACGTTTTTGTCACACTGCCCCAAATGCCCGGATAAGGGTTCACCCTCTTGAAAGCCACAGTAGGGTCAGCACATTTGTGCTGGGTCTGAACTTCATTACTGTCGCCCTGAGGGTTTTCGGAGAGCTCTGAATGTAGGTAGGAGCCAGGAGAAAGGAGAAATCACCAAGGTGTCCGATTGCAGAGGAGTTCCAGGAAGGTAAAGGGAAAAGGCAGCCCTGGAGCCTGAGATTACCTTCCGCATTCAGAGATCAAATACCCCAATTGCCGGTTGGCAAGACCACCCAGAGACCTGAACATCTCCAAGACACATTCAGCATCTTCTCCCCAAAGCACGAACTCGGTCCACTAAGGAGCAACCGTATCTAACAACTCAAGGTAATGTGGGAACCCAGACTGAGTCCTGGTTCTGGAAAAACCAAACCAAACCAAAACAATCCTCCCTGCCCAATCCCCAAGCAGCAATTAAAGTCTCAGGACATTTAGAGAACTCAGAATAGGGACTGGCGCAAGATGATATTATGGGATTACTGTTATTTTCTCCGACCTGGTTGTATAGCTGAAAGTTCTTATTCTTAGGAGACGCATGCTGTAGGACTTAGGGGTGGGGAGTCATAATACCTGCCACTTACTTATAAATGGCAAAGCAAAATAAACACATGTGCATGCATACAAACGGCAAAACGACAGGTAGAATGAGGTTACATAGGTACTTGCTCTACTAGCTTTTCAACTTTTCTTTTGAAGTTTCTCACAATAGAAAGTTGGAGAGAAAAAACACCCCAAACATACAACAGTCTAAATACAATAGAGTCTCCCAAATAAAAAAGTGGAATACATTAAAAAAAAACAACAACACAGCCCTGGCCAGTTTGGCTCAGCAGTTAGAGCGTTGGCCTGCGATCCCGAGAGACCCGGGTTCGGTTCCCGCTAAGGGCGCGTACCTCGGCTGCAGTTTGTCCCCGGCCCTGGTCGGTTGTGCGGGTGGCAGCCACTCGATGTGTTCCTTTCACATCGATGTTTCTCTCTCTCTCTCTTCCTCTCTCTCCCTCCCACTCTACCTGAATAAAAAGTGGAAAAAGGACCTCGGGTGAGGATAAAAAAAGGTTAAAAAAAAAAAAGAGAAGGCAGTGGGGAGGGCTCCTGGGAGGCAGGCGCTCTGCTGCGCGGCACCCTCCAGAGAGAGTTCCCCGACACCACACTGGGGAGTCCGCAGGCCGAACTGGGTGAGCCAATAGAGGAAAAATTAGAGGCCACCTGACTTTTCAAAGCCCACATTCAAAGACAGTAGGAACCCCGTGGGAGGAAGGCACTGGGGACCCGGCCTGCAGGAGGGCAGTGAAGGGCTCCATCACCCACTGGGGCCTAAGGGGAGAAGCCACTGTAATCACTGTCCTCAATCCTGTTTTGAAACCATTGTTTTACACACATACCTTGAAAAACAACGACATCAATTTGAGTATAGCTGAACGACAGTGTTAAGAACTGGAGGAAATATTTTGCCAGAGGCTGGAAACCTCCACCTCATCGAAGCCCCAAAGCTCCTAGAGGACCAGCTGTTGGTGACGGGCGGGCTCACCAAGGAGTGTCACCGGCAGCTCTACATGCAGCAAAGGCCAGGCAGGCTGCAGCAGGCAGAAACAACTTTATTTCACAGGCAGAGACACACCCTACATCCACAGCCCACGCACGTTCCTGCCAACAGCAAGGGCTGGAGGGCAAAACCACCCCAGGGGATGTAAAACCAAGCCCCTCACTTCTTTCAGCAACTGGGACTGTCCTCTGTGGCCAGGAGCTCAGAACACAGGACGCTTGGTAGGAGGGCACACATATGCCTTGTGGTGTGCTGGCACCTTAGCTTACCTCTCATGCCAGCTGGAGCTCTTACAAAAATGGGCTGCGAGAACAAGCAAATAAAAGCCAAATGCAGCCTACGTCTGAGCTGACCACAGGTAACGAGTCGAAACTGCATCTGATCAGTGCTACGTCATCCAACAAAACCTGCATTTACAGAGACGTTCCGAACACATGCTGCCCACGGCATAGCCACCATCCTCACGTGGCCCTTGAGCGCTTGAAATATGGCCAGTGTAAATGGGGAACTCAATTCTTACTTCATTTGAATTAAACAGCCACATGTGGCCGGTGGCTCTGGTACTGAACAAGACAACCCTCGCCTTGTCACACCCAGGACCTGCCTGATCGTTTCTTCCCTACCTGTACTTTAAACGGGTCTCCAGTGATGCGAAGAGGCTTGTCTGCTCCCGTAGGCAACGGGCCATCCTGGATCATGACCATTTTCACCCCCGTCCGCTCCTGTGGAGGACACACGCCGATACAGCACTCACGGCCGTGGATGAGCATGCAGAGGGCACGAGAAGCTGCAAGGGGCTGATCACGTCCACAGCAAGACATGTCCCACCTACCACAAGGCACTGCCCTCTGACCCGGCCCATGAAGCTGGCCTGAGAATGCTGACGTACAGACCATGCTAGCGAGCTTCCAAGTGTGATCCAGAAACCACCTCCCAAACTCTCCTCCTTTTCCAGTCTCTAGAACATCGAAATATAAATAAGCCCTTTCTGTGAAATGCTAGGCACTTGGCTGGGCACTCGATTTAGCATCGCCTGGTTAGAGCTGTCCAGAGCTGATGAGTGGGGCCAGAATTTGGATTCTGAGAGTCCGAACCTTGAACCCGAGTCCACACTAGTGCCTTCACAGCCCGAGGACTGGGCTAGGAGACAGCACATGGGCAGATCACAACCCCTGACCTGCAACTTCAAAAGCCCCAAAGCTCTGAAAGAAAAGTTTGTTTGTAACTAATTTGGCAGCAAAATGAACCTGAACTCACGGAAGCAGATTTCTAGTTTCTCTCCCTGAGTGTCACTGTTACTTTGTTTTACTATGGAGATATGCACTTGGTTACAGCGTGCACCAGGGACTTGCTGGGGTGGTCGATTCTGAGGCATCTCGGCTGAGATTCTGGAGCCACACAGCCCATGCTCAAGGAGCATCGGCTCAGCAACAGGCCCGGTGCTAAGGGTCTTATTTAAAGACAAGCCAAGGGGTATTAGTGCAGCTTCATTACTAGTGAGGCCCCTGAAAAGTGCACAAGCTCGGGAGCTCACACAGCTGCCGGCCGGAGCGCTGCCGGCTCTGGACGCAGCCAGGGATCAGGGATGCTGTCACTTGACGCTAACAGAGCTTCCCTGCCCCAATGGCTGCTACAAGTTCATGAAGGCTCAGGCCAGGCTACAGTAAATGTCCAGAAAACAGCTGTCAAAGGGAGGACCGTGGGATCACGTGGGCAGGGGCTCTGCGGGGAGCTCTGGCCTGTGGTAGGCATAGCCAGATCCATCAGGGGAAGTCAGTCATGACGACCTCCCAAACCTGGAAGGTGAGGAAGATGAAGACCTCTGCTAAGGGCTCACATACCTGCAACTGCTTTATCGTTTCCCCTCCTTTGCCAATGACCAGCCCGACTTTAGCTGCAGGGATGAGGATCTCCTGGACCGTGCTGTTGCCGTCCATGTCGTTATGAAAGCCAGGTCCATTCCGACAGCGGTCCACAATCTGCCCCAGGAGCCGTTTGGCTTGTCTTTGGGAGGGAAAAGAACCACAGGGAAACCAGCATTAAATGAATGCTGCAGGTACCACGAAAGGGGAACAGCACCAGGGGAGACATTGAAGGAGTCAAGCAGCCCTCCGTCCAGCTCCAGCTCCTGCCCACAACCCAGGAGGTCTCTGCCATCCGCCACGCTACTAGGCTGGAAGTTAAAAACAATGCACACAATACCAACATTCCGACACGGCCCCCTTTCTTTCAAGCCTGCCCTCTGCTTGAGTTCGGGTCTTGTATTCACGCCACAAACATGTCTCTGCTATGAGAATGTCACCTCTGCATCTTGCTGTTTCCCAATCCAGAGAGTACACACTCAACATACACTTGTTAAGTAAGGGCAGGAGAGAGCAATGAGAAAGATGGGAAGAAAGAAAGCAAGGGTTAGTAGTCAATTGTTTGAATTCCAAAATTCCAAATGTCTTCTCCATAACCGACCAGACTGCTCTGTGACTTTTGAGCTAAAGTTACGAATCACCAGCTTGGTTTCAAGGGATGGAAAACGGAGGCGGCAGTGCCCTGATGCAGCTCTAGTCATATACACCTGCTTTGTGTTTTGCATGTCGGATGCAGGACCTGCATTCCATATGCGATGCTGTTTTGTGCTGATTCATCTGGAGGGGGAGGAGGAAAGCTACTAAGCCAAAACAGCACATCGCAGCCTACTGAGGTCATCTTATTGGGCCATATTCCTTTTCTGCACCAGAATCTCCCCTGGCTGTTATTTGCATTATTTTATTCTTCGAGTCACCACGTACAATCTATTTTTTGGTTCCTCTAATAGGAAACAATTCAGCTACTAAACAGGCTGGCTACACTGTGCACTGAAGAAAGCAAAATTGTTTCTTCCTCAAGTTATAATCCCGCAGCCTTCACTGCTTGGGTAGAACAGGAAGCAGGAATAGAAGAGTAGAAAGAAGAAAAAGGCAGGAAACAGATGTTGTCCTTTGTGGTATTGAGTCTTTGTGTATAGCATCAGCCTTGTGTATCTCCTCAGTTACAACAGCTTTTTAATATTTTGCTTGTGTACTAGATTAACCTATACTGGAAGAAAAATGCCTGAACTCCAGCAAAACCATCTCGCTTGCCTATAATGTACTCCTGCCAGTTATTTATTCTGGTTCACTGCCTGCAATGTTACTGCAAAACAAGAGAGTTTAAACTCATCCAGACTCCCTGAGAAATGGAAACAATAAAATAGCCCTACCCATTGAGCCAGACATAATCTCAGCACCCTTAGCCCCAAATGCAACGCTGCTCAGCAGACTGAAAGAGGAAAGTGAGCAGAAGCTAAGTGAATACACCCCTTTCCCAGGAGGCTCTTGGATTTAGGAGGCCTATACCTGGTACAAGGCTCTGAGCATGTGTGTACGTGGCAGGAATGCAACACTAGTCTTCAGCCTGTCATAGGGGCCCCAAAAGTTGAAACACCCTCTAGTCAGTCCATATGGCCCTCCGAGCGTAGCAATGGCCAGGAAGAGTCCATTCATTTGGCTCACAAGTATCAGAAGGGCAATGGGATCACCCCCAGGCAAAAAACCTGGTACCAGGATTCTAAACAGTTCACAAAGTGATAGGCTCACTAATCCACACCTGTTCAGGTAAAGGAGGTATTAACAAGGAAGAAGTCAGGTGATCAGACCATTCAGGGAGGATGCATACTCTTAGAACCCGGTTTAGAAGGAGGTGTTATGACAGCTGTGAGAAGTTCTATAGGGTTTTTTTAAAAGGTGATACCTGGTGTGTTTAAGGTGACAGGGAATCTCCCTGGTGTGGCACCCTCCTAAACCCTTCTCTGCAGAAGCATCTGCTTTATGGCCAGACTGTAGCACAGATCGACAGTGTTCAATAACAGTTTGCCCTTCCATTTCTCCCCGTTTGGGGAAGGAGGAAGAAGAGTGAAAGGAAAAAGTAAATAAAATAAACTTACTCAATACTTTCTGGGGTTCCGGTAAGTACACAGGGCCTCTCTGGAATCCCAGAACTCTCTATAAGAAGAATCAAGAAGATGAGGTGTGTTGGTGGGCATCAGGCAACCGTGCACCTTGCCTCTGTGTAAGGCTGTCTCTCTGGGCTGGTGCCTACACCGGCCCCACAGAAGCCCAGGCTCCCAGAAAAAGACAGTCTGCTTCCGCTTGTGGGCAGAACAGTAAGCTGGTAGCTCCACCCTAAGATTCTCAAAGTAGAAACAAATCCCTAGGGTAAGGTGGGAGAATGCAGCAGAGGTTTGTGAGTTGGTCCTAATTCCCAGTTTCAGCTTCATTTCTGACCCACTGTGTGCTAGCAAGTGCGTGAGTCCCTTAACCCGCTGTCCCTCAGTTCTCAATCTGCAGAGCAGTTCACTGGTCAGTTGTTTTGCAAACAGTTCTGAGGTACACGAGTAAGAAATTCCATGGTATGCACATCAGGACTACAACCAGTTATTGCATGAACATCCCCAGAGATCAGTGATATCTATGTAGGACTGGTTCCGGGCCATCTGACAAGAAAGGAAAGTCTTACTTTCCAACATCACATATGACACTTTACTTTGTTCCTAAAAATACTGCCTCTTAAAATTCTTCCTCAAAAAAGAAAGAGAAATAGCTAACAGTAGTTACTGCCTTCAAGACACTGTAAGTATCATTTAAAATGACAAACATTTCTCTAGTTAAATGTCCTTCAAACGCCCTCCTCCACTATGGAAAGAGATCAAACTCAAATTAGATGATAAAACTATAAATAAAATATAAACTCTTCTTCCCCAATCTGTCTCTCTCCATATTGCAGTCAAAATGGACCCAGCTGGGAAAGATCCTGAACTATGTTCAACATGTGCTAATTTAGCCAGAGCCCCCAACTGGCCTCTTTCCACAAAGGGCAGGGATGTTCTGATCCAGGGGAGCTGGTGAGCAATTCCCAGGAGTGACCCCAAAGCCACAGGACTCCTGCAGGCCCCACTGTGTCTGGCATAACATTCTGGTGCAGAAAACAGAGGTCCTAGAGTGGCAGGTGGTTGGGAGGGGCCAGGCCAGGCCACAGAACTGGGGAGGGTCTCCCCACGAGGTCAGAGGGGCAGCCTTGTCTCTGAGCCCGCTTCTGCTCTGGTTCTCTTCTGGGAGTCCGGCTCCAGAAGCGAGGGAAAATCAGTAATTATATATACTTACCCATGTTCCTACACTTCTAGCAACAAGCAAAGTACTGAATCTGGAAAACTTTGCAAAACAATGATTTCTACCAAACTAAGATCTATGAAAAAAAAAGCCCTTACCTGAAGCAATCTGAATTTTGCAACCAGATTCTGCTTGAATCCGTGAAATCTGCTCACCTCCCCTGCCAATAACTGAAACAAATTGAACAGGGTCAGAATATGCCCCTGCTCCGCATTTAACCATGCACGGATGACTCCATTCAGCGGACATTCACACTCGGCTCACAGCGCCATGGGTCAGCTTGGCCTCAGCGAGCCCATGCAATCGCACGTGAAGCAGCAGACGGGTGTGCGCGCTCGAGTGAGGAGAGTGGGGTGGGGGGACAGCGCGCGGACGACCTCGGCCTGGAGAGAAACCGGCAGCACGAGGAGACGCTGGAGAACACAGTGTGCAAAAGCATTCTCCTAGAGGTGACACCCACGCGGAGAGGGAAATAAAAGGGACAGAAAGGAGCTGGGGGAAAGTGCAACACATGGATACTTACTAAATCCAACCATTTTATCAGGCACTTTGAATTCCTCTGTTATTACTGCCCTAAAAACAAAGAACATTTTGGAAAACTATATAGGAGAATTCTACAGCCATTTTAGGTTTCCCAAATTTCCCATACTAGCCATGCTGGAAGACAAAGACTTATAAGAAATCATGCCAACTTGGCCAAGTCCACAACCATCTACAAAGAGCATCATCTAATGAACCTCTTGGTCAATCACTCTTTAAAAAGATCCAAGCCTTGCCCTGGCCGGTTTGGTTCAGCGGTTAGAGCGTCGGCCTGCGGTCCTGAGAGACCCGGGTTCGGTTCCCGCTAAGGGCATGTACCTCGGTTGCAGTTTGTCCCCGGCCCTGGTCGGTTGTGCGGGTGGCAGCCACTCGATGTGTCCCTTTCGCATCGATGTTTCTCTCTCTCTCTCTGTTCCTCTCTCTCCCTCCCACTCTACCTGAACAAAGAATGGAAAAATGTCCTCGGGTGAGGATAAAAAAATAAATAAATAAAAATAAATAAATAAAAAGATCCAAGCCTTGCCCTGGCAGGGCAGCTCAGGTGGGTCAGAGCTTGGTCCCGATATGCCAAGGTTGGGGGTTCAATTCTTGGTCAGGGCACATACAAGAATCAACCAATGAATGCATAAATAAATGAAACAGTAAATCGATGTTTCTCTCAAAACAAATACGCCAACAAAAACTAAGCTCCAAGCCTCCATCACTTGTGTCAGAGGAGGACTTTGGGTTTTCATTAAAACTGTCAACCCTCTCACAGCTGCCTTTCCTCACTCAGCTACAGATGTTCAAAAGCTTGCCAAGTGCTGAGTGGGCCATCGGTCCCAGGACGCTTACAGATCCTGGGGGGCATGGGGAAGGGGTCATGGAATTTAGACTTCTTTCTGGAGTCCTTTCTAGACGGAAAATTCCCAGCTTTTCTTCAGCATTCCTTGTTTCCCCATCTTTGTGTTGCTTTCTGGCCTCCCTCTAATTTTTCTGTCTTTTAGGGTGAGACGCCCCAAATGGGAGCCAGTATTCAGTGGAGGCCTAATCAGTGTTGACCAGGACAGAATGATGACCTCAGTTACTCTACAAGGTACTTCTGTTAAATGCTATCCCATCCATTATGTGCTTTCTTTCTTTTTCTAAACAACTACTGTACTGGCTCTTTCAAACAAACCTTCAAATTTGCCATATAGTGTATTGTGGACAATATCCAATTTGCCCAACACTCCAGGAAGCAATTAAATCTAAACATTTATCTTAGGAGAAAGCTAAATGCAAGTAGTTTTTTAAAAAAGGTAAGCATTTTTAAACATCTCTCACACAGCTGGATTTTTACCCATCATGGAAAGAATGGAACGAAGTGCGTGTTTTTAGGAGAGTGCAGCACTTAGAAGAAATGCTATAGCATAAATAGCACTTGCCACTGTATCATTATGATGGGAGCAAACCGTCTTCTCCTCGTGGAGTTTACATCCTCAGGTTTATATATGCCCAGGGACTTTCTCTGCCTCTTGGGATCTCCGGTTCACCACAAAGTCAGGTATGTCTGCGCTTCCTAACCAGTAACACTGTGGACAATGATGCCGAAGTTCTGCTGGCCTAACACATCGTGCACTAGGCGTGGGTCTGTTGGGATGTGTTCCTGACCGTGATGAAGGGTAACAGTGCTCCTGTCTGTGTAGCTCTGAGATTGCTGCTCATGTGGGTAGCCCAAACTGTGCATTCTCAGAAAATATTACTGGGGATTTACTAGAAGAGGGTCAACACTGTCACAATACAAAACATCACAAACTCAGGCAGCTCCTCAGCCTTCGGGAACATTTTACACAGACTCTCACTAAAGAGGAAGCATATCAAGATGGACTGCTTTGGGCCTCCAGCAAGACAAAGCTCGATTTTAAATGCAAGGATGAAACTTGTATAATGCACAAAGTATAAGCATTTTGGAAAGTAAAATCCTGATTAATTATGGCTTTATAGAAAAATTACATGTGATACTAACAACTTCATTTAAATTATTTTAATTCATTAAAAACAAGGAAACAACAGCAACAAAAACAGGATAAATCTTTTAACTGATGCCTGGTGAGTTCTAGAAACTCCCAAACATTTGTATAGTATACAAGAGGATAAAATTATATCATTGCTGGTGATGGTTAAGGATAATATGTTACAGTAACAGACACAAAACACACAATTTCATCCATTATAAGGAGAAGCTGAGGCACAGAGTTCCTGTATATTTTATCCTTTTTAAAGGGTAACACTGTGACCAAAAATACCCTATCTTACATATTGGTCTTTTTAAAGCCCAGAGATCTTTTTGTCTTTCCAATCCTCAATGTTTAAGGTAAGGCTGTGAGGGGAAACCGAGGCAGGAAATCCACTGGGTACTTTAAATTAGAGGTTCGTTCTCTGGCAAGTCGCTATCACTATGGCAGGAGATGGGACCCAGGCTCTTGGCTTCCTAGGCTCATGATTCCTTGAGGACCCAAAGCTATATCTTCACTTGAGAAAAAGAGTTTAAGGATTCATAAAACAGTGGAAAAACCATCAAAACAGAAGGGGATATTTCATTCTCTCATTTTAAATTAAATGTATGTTGGCAGGAGGAGAAACTGACATTCTAGAAGTGTTTCAGGTTTACATCCACTAACGGCTGATTTTTAATATGTCGTGTTAGTTTTGGGCTTACATTGGAAAGGGCTACAAAAAACTTGAGGCTTAAAGAAATCTAGCCCATGGTTTTTCATACTCTCAACCTCTGACTTTCTAACACTCTAGTACAGATGGTGGATCAATAAACAATTAGAAATGATCAATAAATAATAAAACATAACCCACTGCTTACCTTTGATGTACCAAGGCCCCTAACTGGTTACCTACTGTGGCAAAGAGAAAGAGAAAAGAAAAATCAAAGCATTAGCACGGATAAACTAACTGCATCCTTACACAAGTTCTTACCATTTCAAGGGGAAATAAAGAAAGGCAGAAAGAAAGCAAATAGTAATTTAGGCTCAGTGGCCGAAATGAATGCGTTATATGATATGAAACAGGAGGGGACATCTTGATCAACAGTCTCTAACCCAGTGTCCAGCTGAACGCAGGATAGGAAATTGATCTGTGTGTTCACATGCTGAGAAGCCTGGGAGAAAATCCTGCTTGCCTAAATCCCTCTCACTTCTTCCCTCCCTCCTGCTCTGGATCCAAACTCCGTGTAAAGACATTGAGGGTCTCTTCTTTCTCTTTTGCAACAAATGAGATCTGCCCTGCTAGCCCCATTGTTAAGGACTGCCCCACGGCAGCTGCGGCCACGCGACCGTGCACACATGTTCCCGCCAGCCGTGGGCGTCTCCCACCCCCTAGCCTCCCAGGAGCAGGAACTCAAGGAGAGGACCTGGCCTGCCCCCTCCCTGGCCTCCTCACTGACCTACCGTAGCGGTAAGACTCGGAGAACGAACAACTGCCTGTTAAGCCCATTTCACAGAGACAACAGTGCCAGCCAGCCTCTTATTGTGAAAGCCAACTCTAATCACATTCCCACAGAGTCACTTTAGCTCCACATCGGTTTCAGTTTTCTTCTCTCTCAGCTATTGCTGAGCTCTCCTTCGCCGCCATCAGCAAAACCGCCTGGTGTTTCTCTTCGGGCAGACGCAGCCAGGAATCCCAGACAAGGAGGAAGTGTCCATCCCAACCATGAGGGCGCACTGAATGAACCTCACGCTGTGCTAACGAGAGCATTCGAAACCATCCCTGGGGAAGTTACAAGCTGCATAGAAGGAGGTGAGTGGGAAGGACCAAGGACACCAGCCTCAGAACAAAGAGGGACACAGTTTAGCATCTGAAATACAGGTCTCCAATTGCTCTTCCTTCTGCTTAAAATTACCCTGTCTTTCTCTGACTGGACAGGAACTGGTCATAAAAAGAAGCCAGGTTCTGCTATCTTAAAAGAAGGAAGGCCCTGGCCGGTTTGGCTCAGCAGTTGGAGCGCCAGCCTACAGACCAGAGAGTCCTGGGTTCGGTACCCGCTAGGGGTCACGTACCAAAAAAAAAGACGGAACCACCTAGAGAAATAATGCTAGCAAAAAGTAAATGAGGCTACTGAGTCAATACCATACGTCTTCTGGATCAATAACAAGATAATGGTCTGCAGCCAAAATATTGACATTGTATACTATTAACCTGCTCATCTCAGGGATAAGAGAATTGTTTCCATTGACTCATACATTTTTTTTGCATTTCCAGTTTGAATATGACTGATGCTCTTGCTTGGGACAGGGAGCGTCCACGACTCCCACTCCACATGGAAACTGGACAACCGCCAGGCCGGAACGAAATCCTCACCACACACTCGGCCCCTGGAGGCTGAGAGGGCTGTCCGTCACCTAGGCAGTGGGTGTGAGAGCACAGAGTGCCCGCGAGCTGGGTGAGCTACCCCGCTGAGGGAGGAACGGAACTGCCTGGGGACGACGAGAACACAGAGGCGCCCGTCCTCCAACAGCAGCGTGGCCAGGCCGAGGCCCCTGGCCCGCTGTGCTGTGCGGGGAGCCTTGGCACAAGGCTGAGATCCTCAGCTACTGCAGACACAAACGCCACGGGAACACCAGAGGAAAGGGCGACGCTTCCGTGAGGACCTCCATGAGATTCTGGAGGACCTGCAGAAAGCTCGTCAAAAGCATGTGAAATGTGCTCATCACAGAAAAGGAAATTCCTTTTTGTGGGCAAAGTACGTGTCACAGGCGCCACGCACATGATGTCATTTCTGGTGGCCAACTGCTCTGCTGACAAGTGGAGGTGCTTACAAACCGAAAACCAAAGTGTACACACCATCCTCAAACACACAGATGTACTGCTGAGAGCCACACCACCAAGGGAGGAAATCAATTCGAACCCAGACCCAACAGTGAGTTAGCGGACCCTTAAGGGTAAATGGTCTCTGTCCTCCATGCCAGTGCCGGAAGCCAAGGCTGAAATGTCTGATTTAGTTTCGGTCCCTTCAAAAACATTCCCATTTGGTGCCTGAAAGTGAAGCAGCCGTTAGAGAAGGCGCACTTGGGCACTGGTACAGCGACTGCTAATGTCCAACTCCACGAAGGGGCGGGGAGTGGGGTTCTGCTCAGCCTTCATGATGAAGAGGGGTCAAAGGAGGGGGGCACATGGGAACACCTATCAAGCTCAATTTAACGGTAACTACCATCATTTTACTGCAAAAAAGAAAAAAATGCTGAAATATCAGTCCTATTTCCCCTAACGATGCATCCTGGTCGACAAGGTGCCTGGCCTGGAAGTCCGCCTTCGCACCGTTCTCGCGAACGTGCACACACACAGGTGCAGGTCTCCTTTATCCTGCACACTACATAACGGGGTGCGCCTGGGCTAAGGAAAAATGAGCTCCCCATAGGAAATATTCACACTACAATATGAGAAAATCTTTCTGAAGAGTAACATTCTGTCAATTTCAATAATTTTTGGAAGGAAAAAAAAGGCAGCTGGACACACATTTTTACCCAACAGTAAGGAGAAAGTCTTCATTTTTCTTCCCACAAAAGAAATGCTAATGAAGTCTCACTGGGGAATGTACCCAACTTTATACTAAGCATCAATTGTAACAGTTAACCACCATCTTCCCTCAAAAAAGCCCAAGAGCAAAAGCACCCTTGCTCCTCTGAGAGCACAGATGACCCTTGGCCTTGCGCACAAGCAGGGACCAGGCAGGTGAGGGAGCTGGTCAGGACAGAAATGTCAGCTGTTTTTGTAGGCCTGGCAAAACAAACAAACCCGACTTTCCTCTTCAGGTTTTGAAAACAATCTTCCTGTGCCCTGGCTTGGGTTCCAATCTCCTCGGACTGGTTAGCTGCAGCCATTTCTGCAGTTTTGCAAACATTTTTAAAAACCTTTTCTCCCAGGGACAACACAAAGGCTTCCTGTGTTCTGGCAGTAACTCTCGCCCAGGGCCACAAAACACTGACATGCTGAGTTCAGCTGAAAGACCCTAGACAAGTAATCTGTTACTAATTCTGCAAATTATTTTTAAAAGTGAGAGTAAATTCAAGTTTATCTCCATGTCAGCCTCATGGAGGCTGCAAGAGCAGTCCAATAAGCTCTTGCTAGTGGCAGAGAACACCAGCACTAGCTTCAGCGGTGCCTCACCTACGCGAACCCGACTCCCACAGGAGCCCTGGGAGGCAGATGCTGTTAACACCAGTTCCGTTTTTCCACGAGGAAGGTGCAGTCACACCCACGCCCAGGACAGCGCACCGGTGAGTGCCTGGGCCCATGCACTCTGTACTTTTCAGGTGCTGGGCACTGTGCCAGGTCTCGGGATAAAATGATAAGCAAGGTCATCTCTGCCCTCGAGAAGCTTAGAGTCTAGCTGGGCTAGCAGAAAGCTCCATGCTGAGCAGAAACCTGACCTAGTCTCCAGTATGTGGAGGTGTTAGGAACCCCACCTGTACCCCTCCCCCATCCAAGTGCCTACTGAAGGCCTGATCCAAGAATCTCCAGAGTAAAATCAAGACAAAAAGTAAGTCTACAACATGGATTTACAGCACTATGCCTTATTTTCACTCAATCCAGGAATCATAAAATTAATTTAGGGGATCATGACCAACCTTATTAAAAAATGAAATAGAAAACAAAGTGTGCCATGTATAGTAACATACGCATAATACAGTGTATAGTAACATGTGTTTACTAACTAGTTCTGGGGGAATATAAGTATTTGCCACATGGTAAGTAGTATTTTAAAAGTATGAAAATAACTTGTTATAATCCTGATGATAATCTCATGAAGTAGATATTGTTTCCATTTCACAGGTAAGGAAACAGTCTCAGAGAGGGTTAGCAATATACCCAAGCCACAGTTAACAACTGGCAAGCCAGGATCAAAACCCTAACCTACCAGACTTTGGAGGCTGCATTTTTTTGGCTAATCCTCATCCGAGGCTATTTTTTTCCATTGATTTTTTTTTTTTTTTTTTAAGAGAGAAAGTGGAAGGGAAGGGGGGCAGGAGAGAGACATTGATGTGAGAGAGACACACTGATTGGTTCCCCCCCGCACACACTGACTGGGGCCAGGTAGCGAACCTGCAACCCAGGTATGTGCCCTTGACGGGAAAATGAACCCGAGACCCTCTGGTATGTGGGCCAACGCTCTAACCATTGAGCTTACCAGCTAGGGCTCATGTAGTCTCCTAGATGTAGAAATGTCTACATTTTCAAACATACATTATTGTGGCCTAGGAGACAGAGACCCCAGGTTCAAAGTCTTCCTTCTGGTGCTTACTGAGCATCTGCCCTTGGTCAACCATTCCTCAGCCCTGGTTTCCTTACTACACTAATGGTTTCAGTGCCACGGTTCCGTCCAGCAGCGCCCTATTCTTATCCAGACAGGGGCCCTGCCACACCCTGGCAGTCACCAATCTACTCTCCATTCCTGCGTGTCATATAAATGCGCTCATACAGTAAGTAACCATTTGGGGTTGGCTTTTTCCACTTAGCACAACTCCCTGGAGATTCAACCAGGCTGCTGTGGGCATCGCTAGTTTGCTCCTTTCTACTGCTGAGTAGTATTAGATGGACCAGTTTGTTAACCATCGCCTGTTGAAAGACATCTGGGGTGTTTTCAGTTTGGGGCTATTATGAAGATTTGTGGATAGGTTTTTGTGTGAATATAAGTTTTCTTTTCTAGGGAATAAATGCCCAGAAGTGGAACTGTGGCTAAATGGTAAGTGCATGTTAAGTTTTACAAGTTTTCTAGAGAGGCTGTACCATCAGATGTGTTTTCAAAAGCTCCTTAGGTCCGGTTGGTGTGGCTCAGTGGTTGGGCGTCGACCCATGCATCAAGAGGTCGCTGGTTCGATTCCCAGGCAGGGCACATGCCCAG